TAGTGACAGAGGCACCTTGTGACAGCGTGACACCAGATAACTATCTATGTTAACTAACTACTATTCACTAAAGCTAAGGGTACTACTAAACTATACTATTAACTATATACAACGAAGTCCCAGAAAGACCAAGATAGAGAACTGTGAGGTGCATTACTACATAGAACACTCCAACTCTAGCTACAAACGGTGAGAATTAATTAAGAAGGGTCGGGGTAGCACTGTCCTTAAATAGCCAGAGAAGGGGCTATTGGGAGAGAGGAGACGAGCGCCACCCCTATGGGTTCTGATAGGCAAAGTCCTCTAGCTCTGGGCATGTTAAGTGGAAAACACATCTGCAAGCACTCAAAAACCCCCACAAACTGCTGAGCAGTTCCACTTCCACCTAGGTGAGGCTCTGTGAAAACTCCAAGTAGCATTTGCTTCTCAGATGACTTTAGCCAGGTATGCTGCTGCTCCCTTCAGCCTGATCTTCTGGCAGTTCTTGTCTCAGTAAAGCTATTTCTGTTGGGGGGAGGATGATTTTTTACCAAAATAGTTTTATACTGAACCAACCCCTAATGTGAACACAATGATATGGGAATCGCTATGCAGGTATAAAGCATCTTAATACTGGTATAACTGTATCCGCAATAGGGGGGTTGCAGCACTTTAATTATACTGGTATAGTTAAAGTAATACAACTTTTGTGTGTAGACAAACCGTTATACTAAATTTAGCTTCAGGACTAAATCACCCAGAAAGAAAGGAGAGAGGAAGTTTACTAAATAGCTCTCAGATTAGCGGATAACTTTGCACGAAGACAAAGAACAGGAGTACTTTTTTTTTTCCTGTTCTTTTTGTGGATACAGACTAACACAGCTGCTACTCTGAAACCTGTCATAAGACAAACACTGTCTGATATTACACACTTCACCCAAGTTTGCACTAACACAAAGACTGTATTATATATACACTTCACCCATGCTGAAAGATGCGCTTTCAGAAAGTATGGGAATGGTTCGGAGGTTGGAAGGCAAACCACACTACACAAAGGCAAATGCACACAATCTAAAACTCATAAGACTTCATGGAAACAGTTTAAGATGAGTAGACAACAATGAGCATATATCATGATCTTTCTTATTTATAACTCTCACTCTCTTCACCCTTAGTTTAGAGTCATCCCTGGCTGTTACATCTAGTTTAGACTATGAACTCCTTGGGATAGTAACCTGCCATTGTTTTGTCTGTGAAACGTCATGCACGTTTAAATAAACCTTAAAATTCTACAGATCCCTTTGCAAACAAGGTGCAGGTCTAAGAAGAGGTTTTCTCTTCCATCTATCAGCAAAAAGATTAGATGTACTAACTGTCCGGTGATGATGCTGAGCAGTGATGCTGATGACAACCACAAAAAAAATGAAAAGAAAAAGAACTTAAAGAACTAGGTCTGGTTAAATGGAGCAATTACAGTGCTCTGCACTGACACATGAAACTCATGGATTTATTTTCTTGGCACTGATCACTCATACCCTCAGAAATGCTTAGACCCTAGTTTGCCTCCCATTGCTCAACATCACTCCATCTCATTAAGCAGTAGCACTAACAGATGCCTAAAGCAAATCCTGCCCAGTCCTCCTTCAGCCAGAAAGGGGAAAAATGGGTGGAGGGCTCCATTAAGGACTCTGAAGATTAGCCTCACCAGTGCATATTATTCTGGAATGTAAAAGAACAATGGAGAATGCCATAATAATGTTGCCTGTTAAACTTTGATACTACAAGTTATTTGATATAAATCTTCATTCGTAAAATAATGACAATCTAATAATGCATTCCTGGTCCCTTCTGACTTCACAGATTTTATAGCAGAAATATTACAACAGTAGTTACAACATGGTAACTTTTCACATTGTTTCATGACATTCACATGCCTGAATATATTCACACAAAAATATATTTCACTATCTTACATACTCATTAAGTTAACAACACAGTCACTATAGACAGTTAACTTAATACGTATGTAAAACAGTGAGAAATAGATTTCTAGTGACAATGGTAATAACCAACCCCTGATCAAACCCCAGGAGCACAGTCACATACACTTGCAGATGTACATCAAGATTTCTGACATAAATGTTAAAGAAAAAAAAAACAGCAAATTCCCCAACTTCAAAACAAAGGAGTTTGGTCACATTATAAGAGTAATAAGTCAAGCATGCATATGTAAATACAATTCAATACAATAACCAAACACAAATTTTAAGCAAACACTACAAAAAGAAACAAGCTCTTTCCACACACCATAATCCAAAAGTGCATTCACTATTTTCATAGAATCATAGAATCATAGAATATCAGGGTTGGAAGGGACCCCAGAAGGTCATCTAGTCCAACCCCCTGCTCAAAGCAGGACCAATTCCCAGTTAAATCATCCCAGCCAGGGCTTTGTCAAGCCTGACCTTAAAAACCTCTAAGGAAGGCGATTCTACCACCTCCCTAGGTAACGCATTCCAGTGTTTCACCACCCTCTTAGTGAAAAAGTTTTTCCTAATATCCAATCTAAACCTCCCCCACTGCAACTTGAGACCATTACTCCTCGTTCTGTCATCTGCTACCATTGAGAACAGTCTAGAGCCATCCTCTTTGGAACCCACTTTCAGGTAGTTGAAAGCAGCTATCAAATCCCCCCTCATTCTTCTCTTCTGCAGGCTAAACAATCCCAGCTCCCTCAGCCTCCCCTCATGACTCATGTGTTCCAGTCCCCTAATCATTTTTGTTGCCCTTCGCTGGACTCTCTCCAATTTATCCACATCCTTCTTGAAGTGTGGGGCCCAAAACTGGACACAGTACTCCAGATGAGGCCTCACCAATGTCAAATAGAGGGGGAACGATCATGTCCCTCAATCTGCTCGCTATGCCCCTACTTATACATCCCAAAATGCCATTGGCCTTCTTGGCAACAAGGGCACACTGCTGACTCATATCCAGCTTCTCGTCCACTGTTACCCCTAGGTCCTTTTCCGCAGAACTGCTGCCTACCCATTCGGTCCCTAGTCTGTAGCTGTGCATTGGGTTCTTCCGTCTTAAGTGCAGGACCCTGCACTTATCCTTATTGAACCTCATCAGATTTCTTTTGGCCCAATCCTCCAATTTGTCTAGGTCTTTCTGTATCCTATCCCTCCCCTCCAGCGTATCTACCACTTCTCCCAGTTTAGTATCATCCGCAAATTTGCTGAGAGTGCAATCCACACCATCCTCCAGATCATTTATGAAGATACTGAACAAAACCGGCCCCAGGACCGACCCTTGGGGTACTCCACTTGATACCGGCTGCCAACTAGATATGGAGCCATTGATCACTACCCGTTGAGCCCGACAATCTAGCCAGCTTTCTACCCACCTTGTAGTGCATTCATCCAGCCCATACTTCCTTAACTTGCTGACAAGAATACTGTGGGAGACCGTGTCAAAAGCTTTGCTAAAGTCAAGAAACAATACATCCACTGCTTTCCCTTCATCCACAGAACCAGTAATCTCATCATAAAAGGCGATTAGATTAGTCAGGCATGACCTTCCCTTGGTGAGTCCATGCTGGCTGTTCCTGATCACTTTCCTCTCATGCAAGTGCTTCAGGTTTGATTCTTTGAGGACCTGCTCCATGATTTTTCCAGGGACTGAAGTGAGGCTGACTGGCCTGTAGTTCCCAGGATCCTCCTTCTTCCCTTTTTTAAAGATTGGCACTACATTAGCCTTTTTCCAGTCATCCGGGACTTCCCCGGTTCGCCACGAGTTTTCAAAGATAATGGCCAATGGCTCTGCAATCACAGCCGCCAGTTCCTTCAGCACTCTCGGATGCAACTCGTCCGGCCCCATGGACTTGTGCACGTCCAGCTTTTCTAAATAGTCCCTAACCACCTCTATCTCCACAGAGGGCTGGCCATCTCTTCCCCATTTTGTGATGCCCAGCGTAGCAGTCTGGGAGCTGACCTTGTTAGTGAAAACAGAGGCAAAAAAAGCATTGAGTACATTAGCTTTTTCCACATCCTCTGTCACTAGTTTGCCTCCCTCATTCAGTAAGGGGCCCACACATTCCTTGGCTTTCTTCTTGTTGCCAACATACCTGAAGAAACCCTTCTTGTTACTCTTGACATCTCTGGCTAGCTGCAGCTCCAGGTGCGATTTGGCCCTCCTGATAACATTCCTACATGCCCGAGCAATATTTTTATACTCTTCCCTGGTCATATGTCCAACCTTCCACTTCTTGTAAGCTTCTTTTTTATGTTTAAGATCCGCTAAGATTTCACCATTAAGCCAAGCTGGTCGCCTGCCATATTTACTATTCTTTCGACTCATCGGGATGGTTTGTCCCTGTAACCTCAACAGGGATTCCTTGAAATACAGCCAGCTCTCCTGGACTCCTTTCCCCTTCAAGTTAGTCCCCCAGGGGATCCTGGCCATCCGTTCCCTGAGGGAGTCGAAGTCTGCTTTCCTGAAGTCCAGGGTCCGTATCGTGCTGCTTTTAGTGCACCCTCCAGTAATTCTGCAATTTCTATGTATGCAGAACTTCACAAATTCGAGGACTTTATTCCTGGGAGAGGTCCTGATATTTTACGGACTGTATTGATTTTAAGTCAATGACCCTCAATGAACCTATACCTCAATGAGCATCATTAATGTCATTTCTGGGATTCTGACTGCAGAATGATGGCCTAGGAGAGATTCTGAAACGCAACTGAACTCTCTGCTGCCAGAGTTTCCAATTAAAAGAAACAAGAGATGAATTTTTAGATAAAACATTGCATACAAACTCAATGGAGTAATATGAAAAACAGAGCAAGAAACAGAACATTGTGATGTAATATTCACTGTGAATCACAAAATAGTCAAATCAGCCTGAACCTCAAGGCCTTTTTCCAAGGCAGGAGGTTTCATCAGCCTTGTACCAGAGAAGAATTTCTGCAGCCAATTCTTCAATTCATTTTTCTTCCCATAAAAGAAAGAATCTGTGTACGTACTTGAAGCGGATCTTCTCATCCATGTCCACAGGGGGCTCATGTGTGATGAGGCTAACCAGCTCCTCCATGCAGTGCTGCTGGCAGATAAAGTCCAGCAGTTTGCGGTTCTGTGCCTTGCACTCCTGTAGGATGTCATCTTCATCCATCAGCTCGTGCAGTGTCACATCCTCCTTATCCAGCAGCTTGTCCACATGTGATGTTGTGTTCAAATCAAACTTCCAGAACATGATGATGGAACACACCCAGCTGCAATGCAAGAGAGTAAGTGTTAATACTCAGCCTCCACAAGTCAATCCTCAGCTACTTCTTCCCATATTGTGAAGATACAATAAGGGTCTTTTCAGGGTTCCTTATCCTGTCTCTGAAAAGGAAATAAAAATGAGTTAAATTATTTAAGCAAAATTAAATACACATTTCTGTGACTAAAAAAATTAATCAGCACCCTCCACTCTATCTATATCTGTCTGCCTTAAGGTTCAATCCTGCAAGGTACTAAGCATTCTGACCCCAATAAAGTAAAGTATTTAAGCATGTGCTTAATTTTAAGCAAAATAGTCCCACTGAAGTCAATATGAGTGCTCAAGTTAAGAAAGTGCTTAAATGTTTTGCTGTGCTTAAAGTGCTCTCTATCTTGCAGAATTAAGCACTTCCATTGTAAATATAGGGTTAATTTTTCAGGACATTAGTTATAAGGATCACAACCAAAGAAGTTAAATAGGTGAAATTTACTTATCAGTATTTTTTCCTACTCTGAAATGAGCACCTTCTGCTCCATGATAACTGGTTTATTGTTTTCTCATCTTCCAAGCAGAGAGAGAGGCTCCTTAAAAAACCCTCTTTCTAGCTACAAAATGGAAAGGGAAAGACTAAGAACCTTTTGTCTAATCATCATATCAGACAAAGACAACATATCTATTTTAAAATGATAAAGAAATGCACTGAAGACCAGACAACCACACTGCAAAATTTTTTGAATGAAGCACTATGCTGGAAATGGCCACGTGTTTGAGTGAGTAAGCCCACAAAGAAGGAGATGGGATCTTTTATGATATTTTGTAGGCCTGAGAAACCCCTGAATTTATCCATCTGGAAACAGCAGATATGGTTGCTTTGCACCCTTTCTTAGGTCACACATCTACTCCTGAACTTGCATCTAATTTCCTGCAAGGATTAGTTAAGCATAAACAGAATTTGAATATCCTGACCATAATTAAAGTCCACAACTGATTAAAAGAAGGCAAATAGACTGGATCAAGTTAAAACCATTTATTCTGGAGGACAAAATTCTCATCTGGAAAAAATTTTCAGTACTCCAGATAGGTAAGGCACCTGATTTTACTAACTTCTGGTCAACATAATTGCTAACAGGAAAAACAATATTTTAATGGAAACCTACAGGGAAGCTCCTCTCTGTAAATGAAGGTTCAGAGATTACATCAAACCACAGTCGTCTCAAGACGGCGTCTCTACAGAGACACAGCATTCAGGAATTTGAAAATGTGGAGTTGCTGCCAAAACAGGTTAGACTTGGAACCAATATGCTCCAAGACTCCTAACACTGAGTCTTGGACCTTCAGGAAGCTGGGAATCAGACCCAATCGAGATCCCAGTTTAAGAGAAGGAATTTCAATAGATCCCTGGTTGTGAGGCCACATGGGATTTTTGTCTTTTAAAAATCACCATGAGGATCAAATTGTCAGAATCTCTTGAAATGTCCAGATTTGGGGACAGTTTCTAAGTTTACAAGCTCTCCTGAATAATTAATCTGGAATTAATTGAGAAACTTAACAGTATCAAGTCACCGGGACCAAATGGCATTCACCCAAGAGTTCTGAAATTGCAGAACTATTAACTATAGTTTGTAACCTGTCCTTTAAATCAGCTACTGTACCCAATGACAGGTTTCAGAGTAGCAGCCATGTTAGGCTATAGCTAATGTAACGCCAATATTTAATAAGGGCTCTAGAGGTGATCCTGGCAATTACAGACCAGTATGTCTAACGTCAGTACCGGGCAAATTAGTTGAAACAACAGTAAAGAATAAAATGGTCAGACACAGAAGAACATAAATTGTTGTGCAAAAATCAACATGGTTTCTGTAAAGGGAGATCATGTCTTACTAATCTAATAGAGTTCTTTGAGGGGGTCAACAAACATGCAGACAAGGCGGATCCAGTGGACACAGTGTACTTAGATTTCCAGAAAGTCTTTGACAAGGTCCCTCACCAAAGGCTCTTATGTAAATTAAGTTGTCATGTGATAGGAGGGAAGATCCTTTCATGGACTGAGAACTGGTTAAAAGACAGGGAACAAAGGGTAGGAATAAATGGTAAATTTTCAGAATGGAGAGGGGTAACTAGTGGTATTCCCAAAGGGTCAGTCCTAGGACCAATCCTATTCAACCTATGATCTGGAGAAAGGGGTAAACAGTGAGGTGGCAAAGTCTGCAGAAAATACTAAACTGCTCAAGATAGTTAAGACCAAAGCAGACTGTGAAGAACTTCAAAAAGATCTCACAAAACTAAGTGATTGGGCAACAAAATGGCAAATGAAATTTAATGTGGATAAATGTAAAGTCATGCACATTGGAAAAAATAACCCCAACTATACATACAATATGACAGGGGCTAATTTAGCTACAACTAATCAGGAGAAAGATCTTGGAGTCATCATGGCTAGTTCTCTAAAGACGTCCACACAGTGTGCAGCAGCAGTCAAAAAAGCAAACAGGATGTTAGGAATCATTAAAAAAGGGATAGAGAATAAGACGGAGAATATCTCATTGCCCTTATATAAATCAATGGTACGCCCACATCTTGAATACTGCGTACAAATGGGTTCCCTTCATCTCAAAAAAGATAGACTGGCATTAGAAAATGTTCAGAAAAGGGCAACTAAAATGATTAGGGGTTTGGAACAGGTCCCATATGAGGAGAGATTAAAGAGGCTAGGACTTTTCAGCTTGGGAAAGAGGACACTAAGGGGGGATAGGATAGAGGTCTATAAAATCATTAGTGGTATGGAGAAAATGAATAAGGAAAAGTTATTTACTTGTTCCCATAATATAAGAACTAGGGGCCACCAAATGAAATTAATGGGTAACAGGTTTAAAACAAATAAAAGGAAGTTCTTCTTCACTCAGCGCACAGTCAACCTGTGGAACTCCTTGCCTGAGGAGGTTGTGAAGGCTAGGACTATAACAGGGTTTAAAAGAGAACTGGATAAATTCATGGAGGTTAAGTGCATTAATGGCTATTAGCCAGGATAGGTAAGAAATGGTGTCCCTAGCGTCCGTTTGTCAGAGGGTGGAGATGGATGGCAGGAGAGAGATCACTAGATCATTACCTGTTAGGTTCCCTCCCTCTGGGGCACCTGGCATTGGCCACTGTCGGTAGACAGGATACTGGGCCGGATGGACCTCCTGTGGTCTGACCCAGTATGGCCATTCTTATGTTCTTAATATTCATCGCTCTAACAGACAAAATCCCTCAGGTTCCAAGCCAAGAGTCTCAAAGTGCTTTAAATCTGGGAGTTTAAGAGGATCCTGGAATTGAATTTTTCCCAGTCCAGGACGTTCAAGAATGCTGAACTGACATATGCAGGAGTCTGAGAGACTATGGGTCTCTGCACCACTACATTTCTGTTAACCACTTGAAGACTAAATTATTTAGTTCCCATTCTCATGTGCCCAAGCAGCATGTGCTTAGTCAGCTGACCTATAGGTTTCTCTTTTGCTAAAATGTATGTGATTTTAACTGAGATGCCTTAAGTTGTGAGCTCCCCAGAACAGACCTAAATGAGGCTTTGTAAAGCACCTCGTTGGTACTACTGTAAACAAGCCATCTAAGTAATAAGTCAACAAAACCTTTGGCCTCAGGAGCAAGAGAATTTTCCCTTGCTTCATTCAGAATTTTTAACTTCTATTTTCTTTCTCCAGCCTGGAAGTGCTAGTATGCAATAGATGTCTTACTGTTGTTTCTCATATGAATCGCAATCAAGTCCAGTGGAAATTTCATGAGTAGAGAGAAAACCAACTTCTTAACTGCTTAAAACCCTAGGACAGGGGTGGGCAAACTACAGCCCAGGGGCCGCATTCGGCCCTCCAGATGTTTTAATCCAGCCCTTGAGCTTCAGCCGGGGAACGGGGTCCAGGGCTTGCCCCGCGCAGCTCCCAAAAGCAGTGGAATGTCCCCCTTCGGGCTCCTACGCATAGGGGCAGCCAAGGGGCTCCACTCACAGGTCCTGCAGCTCCCATTGGATGGGAACCGCTACCAATCAGATCTGCAGGGATGGGGCCTGCGGACAGGACAGCACGCATAGACACCTGGCCGCGCCTCCACATAGGAGCCGGAGAGGGGGACATGCCTCTGCTTCTGGGACCTGCCTGAGGTAAGCGCCGCCTGGAGCCTTCATAGAATCATAGAATATCAGGGTTGGAAGGAACCTCAGGTGGTCATCTAGTCCAACCCCTGCTCAAAGCAGGATCAATCCCCAATTTTTGTCCCATATCCCTAAATGGCCCCCTCAAGGATTGAACTCACAACCCTGGGTTTAGCAGGCCAAAGCTCAAACCACTGAGCTATCCCTCTCCCCCCTCCCCCCCTGATCCCCTCCTGCACCCCAACCACCTACCCCAGTCCTGATCCCCTCCCGCTCTCCGAACCCCTTGGTCCCAGCCTGGAGTTCCCTCCTGCATCCCCAACCCCACCCCAGACCCCGCACCTCCAGCCAGAGACCGCACCCCAACCCCAATTTCGTGAGCATTCATGGCCCGCCATACAATTTCCATACCCAGATGTGGCCCTCAGGCCAAAAAGTTTGCCCAACCCTGCCCTAGGACATTGTTGGGATCAGCTTCCTGGAATAGAATTGTATAGAGCCAACTTGAGCTTATTCAGGTGCACAGAAAATAATCTGATACCTGATTCTGAACATAATCAGGATATTCTGTAGAGTACAAAAATGCATCACCACCGTGGAACAGTTTCCAAGTCCAGCAATTATCATAACAAAGAAACTAGAGCCTCTAAATAGCAAGTACTCGAAGAGTTCCCAGAAGAAATACAAATTGTAACATCCTTCTGGGCAACTGGTTTAGAACCACAAATGTCTCACAGAATGCCTAGAGGTGGGCTAGATCCTGAGAGGGCACTAAGGAATTCCTCTGAAAAATATATAAAGAAGTGAAGGATGCATGCAGCTGAAAGACCTCATCAATATGTGCAGACACTATTTCATAAGGATGG